GCGAGGGAGAGGGAGAGGGCGAGGGAGAGGGAGGGGGAGAGGGAGGAGCAGTAAAGAGGCTGGCCATGACCACGTGGAGAGAGGGGGAAGGGAAGGGAGAAGGGGAGAGGACAGAGGGATCAAGAGAGGAAGAGCAAGAGATCAAGAGGGAGAAGGGGGCAAGCAGCCCCTTTTACCTGTTGCCAGGTAACTGTGGGAAGGAGCATACATAGCCAGGTAACTGTGGAGGTGGAGTTTAGACAGAATGCTAACAGATAAACCATGTTCCTAAAGGCAGGCAGGTGAGGGGAGGCAGATGCAGGTTAAAGCTACCTGGGTCTAGCCTCCTCCCAGTGCTAGCAGTGGCAGTTCTAGGTGAATGCTTACAGGATCAAGCAAACACTTCTCAGACTCAAGGAGAGAGGCTCCCAGGCAGTGTCTTGGTTCTGGGTTGCTCGGAGGATTACAGAAGAAAGAGAGACACTGACGGATAAAATTTAGGCTTCACGGGAATCAGTCTCTCTAGCAGCTTCCTAGAAGCACTTTTTCCAGAAGTAACTTCCCAGTTTCACAAAGGGCACTTTTAGCAAGTCAGTTTCCGCATACCAAAACCTTTTATCTGATCTAGGGGCTGTCTGAAGGAACCACTGTCTAAGCAATTCTCAGCCATACGAGACTTCCTGGTTTGCTAGGTATGTCGCCGGACTAAGTTATGCTAAGGCTACTTCAAAGCTTAGGTGCCATCACTCCCGGAATTCACGCCAGAAACAACTGCTCTGCAAAAATTCTGCTACAGACCACCCTTCCGGCTGTAGACAGGCAGGAGGCTGGGTTAGGTCTGGTCAGCCCAGTGCGGGTATCTCAGACTCCCTTTCTTCCACAGGGCAAGGACAGAACAGCTTCGTCCCCGTGGGGAGCGTGATGGGAGTTACTTAGGAGAGAAACGCCTAGGCCTTGGGGGACTAGAAGGGCCTGATCTGGACGGTACACAATGAACAGAGTTATACTGGGAGGCCAGATCCTAGGATTCAAGTCCGGGAAACGCGCAGAGGAAACTTTATTAAAAGAGGGCGGAGTCAAAGAAGACTGAACTAGAGCCCAAGAGGGAAAAGGGGCGGGATCCCGGGTGGAGATGCTGCACTCTGGGCCCGCCCCCCTGGGAATCTCAGCCTCTGGCCTGGTCTCGTGACATTGGTCAGAAAGTCACGAGTATAGGCTGAGCCTGCAGCTGCAGTTGCAGTATGGCCTCGGAGAGGGACGTACGTGCACAGCTGCAGCACGCGGGCCAGGATCACCTCTTACGCTTCTGGGCGGACCTGGCTCCAGAGCCTCGAGCCGCGCTGTTAGCCGAGCTCGCCTCCTTGGAGGCGGACGCGCTGCGGGAGCACTGCCAGCGCGCCTCCGCCGCCGGCGCGCTAGTCCCGGGTCCTCTGCCGGACCTGGCGGCGCGCCTGCAGCCCCTGCCCCCAGAACGCGTGGGCAGCGCAATCCGTTGCGACCAAGAGACACGCTTGCGGTGGGAAGAGGAAGGTAGGCAACGCCGAACCGGGCGGGGACTGGGCGAGCGCTGGCCGTTGAGGCCAGAAGAGTTAGTGCCTACGGGGGTCGGGGTAGTGGAGGCGGAGTGGAGGGGACGGACTCAGGAAGTGCTGCGGGGAGTGATTTGCCTTGCAGCTCTTTGCTCCTGCCTTTAGTAGAACGGAAGTCGTGCAGCAGCAGTCTCAGTATGGTTCTCTAAAGTGAAAGAGGGCTTTTCTCTCGCCTCCCCTCCAGGTTTCCGACAGATTGCTCTGAACAAGGTGGCTGTCCTGCTGCTGGCCGGTGGGCAGGGCACTCGCCTGGGTGTCACCTACCCCAAGGGCATGTATCAAGTTGGGCTGCCCAGCCAGAAGACCCTGTACCAACTGCAAGCAGAGCGTATCCGGCGTGTTCAACAGTTGGCTGACCAGCGACTGGGAACCCATTGCACCGTGCCCTGGTTTGTCCTCCGTGCCAGTCTCCCAGAAAGACCCCACTCCTAAATGACCCCACACCAAGACCTTAGACTCAGTTTTAGCACTGCCCTAGACGGAGCCCGGTGCTTGCCCTTGAGCCCCATCTAGACCTGTTCCTGCCACACTTAGCAGACTGAGCTGACTCCCCTGGAAGCAGCTCACTGCTAGGCCGTTTACAGGTACATCATGACCAGTGAGTTTACCCTGGGACCCACAATCAAGTTCTTCAAGGAGCATGACTTCTTCCACCTAGACCCCACTAATGTGGTGCTGTTTGAGCAGCGTATGCTGCCTGCTGTGACCTTTGAGGGCAAGGCCATCCTGGAACGGAAAGACAAAGTTGCCATGGCCCCAGGTATGACCTACACCTTGGACAGGGAAAGGTTGCCCCTCCCGGGCCACAGAGTCAGCTGTGGGTCAGGAGGCCTGACTCCTAGGTAAGATGTACTGGGGCAGGCTATGTGGCCCCAGCCATGTGGCCCTGGCCAGTTTGGAGTCTCGGGCTCTTGGTGGTTTGTGTTCCTGCAGCATTTACTAGACTGAGCTTGATCAAGCCCGAGTCCATGGGTAGCCCATTCCATTCTCCTTTGTAGACGGCAACGGGGGCTTGTACTGTGCACTGGCAGACCATCAGATCCTGGAGGACATGAAGCAGCGGGGTGTGGAGTTTGTGCATGTGTACTGTGTGGACAACATCTTGGTGCGGCTGGCTGACCCAGTCTTCATTGGCTTCTGTGTGCTTCGGGGAGCAGACTGTGGTGCCAAGGTGAGCACCAAGCTTCCCTTTTTCTTGGCACTTGGCTCTGCCTCTTGCTAAATCCCATCCTCCTACTCCCAGCCCTCTGAGTCTATGCCCGGTGGTTGCAGGTGGTGGAGAAAGCGTACCCTGAGGAGCCAGTGGGTGTGGTGTGTCAGGTGGACGGTGTCCCCCAGGTGGTGGAATACAGCGAGATCAGCCCTGAGATTGCTAGGCAGCGTGGTGCTGATGGGAGCTTGCTCTACAACACAGGCAATATCTGCAACCATTTTTTCACCAGAGGCTTCTTGGATATGGTCACCAGGTATATGGCAGCAGGTGGTGGTGTCCCAGACTGAGCTGAATCTAAGAATGCCATAGTAGCTGGAGCTGACTTAGCCTGAGCTGGGCCACTGCTGGGAGTGGCAAGGGGTTGAGTGGAGAGAATTCCTGTGTTACTGTGAGCATGCTCTGTGCGTCTCTATGAGGCTCTAGTCACAGCCCTCTCTTGTGGATGGCCCACCTCTGCCCTGTCATTAGCATGGGCAGCACTGTGGCTGGTGTTTCCTGGCTTTTGGCCCTGGGGAAGCACAGAGAAAGCCTGTGTCCTTCCCAGAGATATAGCTAGGTCCTTGTGCTGCTGCAACTGCTGGGTGTACAGAAGTGAGGACATTCCAAGGTGCCCTGTCTAAGCCATACCCTTTTCTCCTCTTGCTGCCAGGGAGTTTGAGCCCTTGCTGAAGCTTCATGTGGCCGTGAAGAAGGTCCCATACGTGGATGAGGAGGGAAATCTGGTAAAGCCGCTAAGACCGAATGGGATAAAGATGGAGAAGTTTGTGTTTGATGTGTTCCAGTTTGCTAAGTTAGTGGTGGCAGTCACTTATTTTTCTCTTCTTCCCTTTCTCTGTTCTGGGATGAGTTTAGAGGTCCAGCAGGACAGTAGGGAAGTGGCAGCTTGGTGAGAAGTAGGCGGGGTGGGGGAAAGCTCAGGGACTACAGGTCAGTTGTTCTCAGGGAAGTCCAGAGGGTGTCCTTGTCCTGAAAACAAGAGCAGAGGGAGGGAAGATTGGACGTTCTGAAAGGACAATCACACACACACACACACACACAGAGATCAATCTCCATAGTTCTGACCCATGGTCAGGTTTTGGAGTTGCTGGGTGGGTCTGTCCTCTTCCTCTGGACATGTGGCAAGCGAGAGTTGGAGGATAAGGTTTCCTAGTACCTCAGGAAAGTAAAGGTGCTTTTCGTGCCTGCAGGGGCCCTCCTAGATCACCACATCACTGAACTCAGAGAGGTGTGGCCTCCCCTCTCCAGCCACTGGCTGGTGTACAGGGGATGATGAGCCCTTCTTTCCACCAGGAACTTTGTGGCCTTTGAAGTATGTCGGGAGGAGGAGTTCTCCCCTCTGAAGAATGCTGACACAGCTGACAGGGACAACCCCTCCACCTCCAGGCGAGCCTTGCTGGCTCAGCACTACCGCTGGGCTCTGCAGGCCGGAGCCCACTTCCTGGATGTACACGGGGTCCAGCTTCCAGAACAGTCTGGGTGAGGGGCCCAGGTTAGCCTGGGCAGCAGTATTCTCATCCTGGGGCCCTGTTGATGGTGCCACTGTCCCAGCTGGCTTCTGACCCAATGCCACCCAAATGCAGACAGCTATATTCCTAGCCAGTGACCATTGGCCCAGCTTCTTAGTCTCCGGCTCTGCTCAGGGAACCAGGAGGGTAGGTCTCAAATGCTCCCAAACACACTCTCATAAACTTTGAAGATGAGACCTAGGCCTAACCCTCAAGAGACATGGAGAAGTCTCCTCAGGACAGGAAAGGAAAAGGACCTTTGGGTGTCTGTCTCCCCTGTTGTCATTCTGGAGCTGCAGGTGGGCCTGCCTGTTTGAGCTCTAGGCAGGGTCCCTGGGTAATGATTTCTTTAGCTAGGCCAGAGCCTGGCAAATGGCCATGGGTTTAGGCTGTGCTGAGGGAACAATTTGTGGTGGAGGTATACTGGTGCCTGGCATTCATGCTAGGCAGGTACTAGTTCCTGTCCTGAGGGAGCTGGGAGGATCCCCGCATTCACTTGAGAGGCAGGTGCTGACTGTTGCTTTCTCCTAGCTTGCTCCCAAATGGAGACCCTCCAGCTGTCTGTGAGATATCGCCCTTGGTGTCTTACTCTGGAGAGGTGAGCATGTAGTTCCCATTCAGGATTTCATGAAGTTTGGTTTGTGTGAACCAGAAGAAAATGGGAGAAGCTAGCACTGGGGTAGAAGATTACCTACAGTTCAGTTGGCCAGTGAACTTTTGTTCAAAAGTGTGAACTTTTGGGATGTGGTGGACTGAGGGATCTGGGGGGCCTTTGGGAGTCTTAGAGGGGATGGGATACAGGAAGGAATCAAGGTCGAGACCAGGACTTTGGGGAATCTTCCTGAGGGAGAGACACTAGCCCTGTGCTATCCCTCCCTGACACGACAACACTGGAGTGCTGTTTCAGAGAAAAGTGCACACTTAACCACTGTAAGCCCTTGTTTATAGGGGTTGGAAATGTACCTGCAAGGCAGAAAACTCCAGTCTCCATTCATTCTGGATGAGGACCAAGCCATGCTGCTGCAGCCACAGGAGTGCTAACCTGCTTGTTCCCGGGCTCTCTGGCCGTGGGGTTCTATAGGGTGGTGATACAGCTCTGAGTGGGGTTCTGAGTGGATATGCTAGCCTGCAGGACGCCAAAGCAAGTGTGCTAGTTGACTTTGAAAGGTTGGGACCTCTTGGAGTTCCCCCCAACCCCCCCGTGGACTCTGGTTGTTTGTGTGTGTGGTTTTTGTTTGTTTTGTTTTTGCCTCCTTGCTGGCTCTGGGGCTTGGCTGAGAGGCAGGGGCTTAAGTTTGGAAAACGGGGCCAGAAGAGGCTTCAGGGTCGGGGCAGGGGGTTGTCTAAGAAGTCACGTGAGATGCCTTTCTAGCATGTGCCCTCCCAGTGCACAGGCCAGCCTCATGCTCAGCAGACAGTGAGCTGTGTCTTATGGGGGTGTAGACAGCAGTACCCCTAGACAGCAGAATCCTAACTGGAGTAAGGCTGAGCATGACAGGATCAGAAGCCTGATGCCAGTGGTTAAGACTGGGCTGAAGAACTCTGATCCGAATACCTGAGATGAAAGATGAAGTCTCCTGCCTTCCTAGACCTCTCCCACAGCCTGAGTCTCCTAGTCATACCTGCAAGTGGGCCTGGCTTCTGTGTCCTGAGTCATGTTCTCCAAGAATGAGAGATCACACTGTTGCCTTCTGCAACTGATTTTGACCCAGACAGGAGCACACCTCATTTTGGTAAGTTTCTTTTCCCAGAGCTTCGAGGGGAAGCTCTGGGATGGAGATGTAGCTGCCTGTGTAAAGTAGTGCTTGGCTGTGCTGCCCAGCCTTGTTCTCGCACTGACTGTACCTCCTCTAATTCACGGCTGTTTTCCCATGCAACAAAATGACGACACCGGGCTTTCCCCTGTAATGTAATAGTGGTCAGGACAGGCAGCCTGCTCTGCAGCCACCTACCCCAAGATGTACGGGCTCCTCTCGTTCCCATTGGCCTTCCCAGAGGGTCAGTGGGAGGAGTGCATTCACCTTTTGGTGTTGAAGCAGAGGGAAGATCAGGCCTGCAACCGCCATTGTTGGACCAGCATGTAGAAGTCAAGCTGAGGTTTTGCTGGGCTCTTGTGGTCGTCTTGCTGTAGACCTCAGAAGCAAATGGTGTATCTTGGCACCTTCTCTTATTGTTCCACAGGCAAGCCAGGGCCCCTGGGGCAGGCGAGATCAAACGGATGGAGATAAAACCCCTAGTCTCCTCTTGAGTAAGCAGTCAGTTGAGTAGATTCTGGAAAGGACTAAAAAATTTCAAAGAAACCTCCATGTTCTCCACCCTTTTCCTTGGTGATTGTATCTTACACGATACCAGACTGGGGGTGACAGAGGTGTGGTGTTTCAAGATATATGAATGTATTAGCGTACCCCGCATTCAATCGGGATGAATAATTGTCCCCTCAGCATTGAGCTCTCCTTTAGGCTACCTCTCCACAGTCACACCCCACCATTCCTAGCCTGTATTATCCTAAAAAGACTACTGACTTTTAGAAGAGTGGACATTTTTATTTTCACAGGTTGGACATTTGGAATAAACCCAGGCTGCAGGGGTTGGTGGGCAGGGTCATGTGCATCTCAGGCTGGCCTTGAATTAGCTACACAGCAAGGCTGACCTTAGACCTCTGAACATCCTGACAAGGTGCTGGGTTTATGGGGTGGTGGGAGTCGAGGCCAGGGCTTCATGTGCATGGTAGGCCAGAGCTCCAGCCTCAGATGCAGTTTCTCATGGCATACAGAGGTGGGAATGGGTGGATACAGGGGACAGGCCTTTGGGAACAGGAAGCTAAGAAACCCTTCATGCTTCCACTCAGCTCTTCATCAGGGGTTCAGGGAAACCCAAGACATAGGACACTCCAGGAAAACCTCTGTACCAAACCTATGGCTGGCACTCCCCTTTTTGATAGGTTCCTAATTTTTCAGTGACTGTAGAAAGCATCACCTGAGGGCTGGGACCAGTATGTGTGGGAAGATAGCCAGTAGGACACTAAATGTGACGACGGGGGTGGGGGGGGGTGGGGTGAGGGGGAGACCTGAGACCAATAGGGTTTTCATATTCAGAGAAACCAAAGGCCAAGTAGGCTTGCCATAATGGGGCCCTTCAGGTACCCAGAGATGCACAGCCAGGTTTCACATTGTAAATATATAGTTGAAAACTGGGTGTGGAGGCACAGCCTTTAAATCACAGTCCTAGGGAGGCAGAGGCAGGCAGATTTCTTGAGTTTGAGGCCAACCTGGGAGTGCCAGGTCAGACAGTTACATAGTGAGATCCCGTCTCAAAAACAAACAAGCCATGTAGTCGGACCAGAAGCGAACATGAGCCAGGACATCCTTACTGCATAGTGCTGCTTTGCAGGGTTCAGCATTGGCTTGGAACCATGTGTGAAGCAAACCTAAATGGTTTGTTTTAGAACATAGATCCTGGCCGGGCGGTGGTGGCGCATGCCTTTAATCCCAGCACTTGGGAGGCAGAGACAGGCGGATTTCTGAGTTCGAGGCCAGCCTGGTCTACAGAGAAACCCTGTCTTGAAAAACCAAAAAGAAAAAAAAAAAGATAGAACATAGATCCTAAGTCCGTGGGGCCTCGAGTGAACTTCCCTGTTACGTCCCTTACCCACAAGGGTTTCAGGAAGGGCCTAGCAGTGGCCTTAAGTGTCTAGCCATATTCATCTTATGGGGAAGCAGGCTGGGCCTGTTCTGGCTTCCTCTGTGTAGAAGACAGCAGTCTTCATACTGAGCCTTACATGGATTCACCCCATTTTATACAGTAGAAGCTGCTGTATGTGTATCTCAAGTACCCATCAAACTCATCACCTGTCAGAAGCTCAGCCCAGAAAAATAATCGGAGCTAAGAACGTTGCTTCCACCTGGCCTGCTGTGTGGGCCTGCTCTCTACATCTGTCCTTCCTGCAGCTTTGAACCCTGAAGCCTCTTTAACCTTTCTTAGGCATTCTGTGACTGACATCATTGTATGACACAAAGTATGTAATCTGAGTTGTTGCTGTTAGTAATTGAGGTTGGAATGTAATAAAGGAACCCATGTTTGCTAGTGGTCATGATTACCAAGCAAAATCAAAAGTGCTCAGTGAATTATAGGCAGCGAAATCACAGTAGCTTGTGAATTTATGGAAAGACATAGCATGGAGGTCTGTGTTACTGGCTTGGCTTGTACTTGATCGCTGCTGTGATCAGCCGATTCTATTCATTAGAAAAGGAATCTAGCAAGCCTGGTGTGATAGCCAGGCATTTGATCCCCACAGAAAAGCAACCATAGAACTTAGAGCAGGGGTGGATAGTTAGGAAGGAGGACAGGACCCAATACAATTTCTTTCTTTCTCTCTTTCTTTCTTTCTTTCTTTCTTTCTTTCTTTCTTTCTTTCTTTCTTTCTTTCCTTCTTTCTTTTTGGTTTTTTGAGACAGGGTTTCTCTGTGTAGTTCTGGCTGTCCTGGAACTCACTCTGTAGACCAGGCTGGCCTCGAACTCAGAAATCCACCTGCCTCTGCCTCCCAAGTGCTGGGATTAAAGGTGGGCACCACCACCGCCCAGCCCAATACAATTTCTAAATCTTTAGGGGTCATATGATCACCAGATGGTAAGTATCAGTCAAGACAATTATGGCAGTAGTGAGTGGTGACACCTGGATCTACACAAGTGCACTATTTGGAAACATGACAGCATGTGATAGTGCTAGCCTGGCTAAACACTGGACTGTATAAACCATCAGCATTTCAGAGGGCTTAACAGTGGAGCAGCGTGAGGAAGTAGAACTGGTAAAAGATCCTGTCCACACCTGCAGGAAGCAAACTGCATGCAGTGGTCATGATTACCAAGTAAGCTCAAGAGTGCCCAGTCTTGCCTATAATCCCAGCACTTGGAAGAGGCAAGAGGGCTATGAGTCTGAAGCCAGCCTGGGGTACTAGGAAGACTCTGTCCTAAATACACAAAAATTTCATAATAGTGCAGATTTGTGCCATCTGATCATGAACCAAGTGGTCTACACAATTTCGTTTCAGTTATAGTCTATAAAACTGCATTACTTCGAGGCCAGCCTGGTCTATAGAGTTCCAGGACAGCCCGGGCTATACAGAGAAACCCTGTCTCGAAAAACAAAACAAAAAAAATGGAATTTCTATGAACCTAATCAATATACATATAAAAAGTCTATTTTGTTGTTGAGATAGGGTCTCTGAATGGAGCCCTGGCTGGCCAGAGACTTCACTGTCTGCAAACTCGTACAGAGGCACCTGCCTTTCCTGAGTGCTGGAATCAAAGGGTGTATCACCACACTTGCCTCTTCACATTTATTTGAGAAATACCTTTGACCGACTTACGGGTCATTAAGACATACAGGATTTCTATCTGGAAAAGGGCCCAAGAGATCCAGTACAACTAGTGATGTGATACCTTTGCTCACTAGGTAAAACTGAGCCCCAGGAAAGGAAGAGGTCCAAGTGGTCGTCAGAAAATTTGTTACCTTGATAGGATACACAGCAGTGACACTGGCTTCAGTGTCAAGCAGGGATTCTCACATAAGACATACTTGCCATAATTAATTCTGAGAGAGCAGAATATATCCTTGCCAAAGCAAGGTCTGTGTGGTCCTAGCACTTCCTAGTGAAGAACACCAGCCTCAAGCCTCTCGGACAATATGGACGTCGTTGGGCAAGGTGCTCACTGCACAAGATGCAAAACTCACTACAGTCAAAATCCATGACTGAAAAAAATTACAGACTCGTAAGCAGTGATGAGTGGCAAACCCCATGGTTATAAGATAATTATAAGGTGAATGGCAAAGACCTAAGGTCACACCAATATTGGAAACAATTACAAGACCTCTACCTATCCCCTAAAATAACATCAAAGTAACAGATACCCGTATATCCAAAGGATAATTTAGGAACAACGAACTACAACAACCATCTGCAATATAGCTTGGTAGAAGAGTGCTTGTCTAGGCTTAAGCCTCTGCACTTTGCCAGTGTGGTAGTACATGCATGTAATTCCAGGATATGTGAGGCACAGACAGGACTGCTGCAAGTTCAGGTCAGCCTGCTCTATATAGAAATACCTGATATAAATAAATCGGTGGTTAAGAGCTTTGGCAGCTTTTCCAGAGTACCTAGGTTCAAATCCCAGCCCCACAGGTGGCTCACAACCACCTAACACTACAGATCTAATTAAGCACCCACTTCCGACCTCCGTGAGCAGTGCATAGACATGGTGCACAGACAGACTTAGACACAGGTAAAACAGCCATTTCATAAAGTAAGACATTTCCAAAGTTAAAAATGCCCAAGTAGATGTGCACTCGTGAGAAGGGAGAGGGAAAGGTGCCTAACTCAGACACTGATAGCTGAATACACCTGTCCTCTTTAAACTCATGGAGGGAGAGTTGGCTCAGACTTGCTGCTTTTGCAGAGGACCCTGGTTTAATTCCTAGTGTCCATATGGTAGTTAACTGCAGTTCCAGAGGTTTCAAAACCCTTCTCTGGACCCCAAGGAAACCAAATATGTATGTGGTAATACATACATGAAGGCAAAACACATAAAATAAATGACTAATTCCTTTAAAAAAGGAAGAGGATGACTTACAGAAAATTCCCAAGATACCGAACCCTAAAAAAAAAAAAAGGAGAAATGCGTGATAACAAAGAGCTGTGTGTAATGCCACACAGCAAAATGCCATTTCTGCATTCAAAGGACATATGGGAGTGGGCTCTGCATAAACAGATGACAGGCAGGGGCCATGAAGTAACATGGCGTGAACTTCAAAAGGAGATTCAAGGCTAGGAAGAGTGTGAAGTTCCCTGACTTTTTAAATGCAGAATCCCAGCAGATACACAAGCTGCAGGTATGTCTTACTGGGCAACACAACAATGAAACCCTTCAAAATATGCAATAACAAATCTAGACAGCTACACAGCATTAGGAGTTCCCTAATCTGTGGCACAGCATTCCACAGCTCTAGGTTGTGTGTCCCACTGAACTGTGGCCATGCTGGATGGACATATTCCACCCATGGCCAGGTCAGACCAAGTCACCAACTTCTGTGGATGTCTTTTCTCTTTCAGACCTGGGACTGGGTGTCAGAGAGAAAACTGGTTCTTCTCTCTGCACGCTCCATGCCAATGAGGTGGAGGGCAGCTTCCAACAAAAGCCCTGCCCCTCACCCCCCCACCCTTCTGTTTGGGCTGTGGGCATAGTACCAGCAGTGAGGAGAACAGAGCAGCTCAGAGATTCCCAGATACAACTCAGATAAGTCCAGTGTCCTTTCTCAGAGACACTGTCCCTCTGCAGCAACCCCCTACCTGCCCAAGGGCACTGTCTGAGGGCAGACAGAAATGTTCTAGTTTTCCTGGCTCTGTAATTATGAGCCTGACTGGGAGCAGAGCTGTCATTTTGGCCGAGTACATGATGGTGATGCTCCAGCCGTTTTCAGTGCCCAGGGCTGAGTGAGCTCTAGCAGCCTGTGGAATATGTGGGGCCTGCAACTTCTAGGGACTTCAACATCCTGCAGCATCCTTGTGTGGGAGGACCCTCCCTTCCATCATCTTGCACTCAGCAGCTGGACACTTGGGAGACCATATGGTCTTGATGAGCCTTAGCCCTCTCTCTGCTTCCTGGGACTCCACAGTAACCATCTCTGTGGAAACAAATAGGAGCCCAGAAATTTAGATCGAAGAACCCGGAAGCTGAAGAGGAAGAGTAGGCTGGTCCTCCAATTAGAATCCAGTCACAGTAGGACAACCCCGCCAGGCTGTCACACGTGATGTTGCCCCGCCCAGTGTGTCTGTCATGTGACCAGGGTCACATGACTGCCAGCGCCAGGCTCAGAATCAGGCATGAGCTTCCAGCGATGTGTCCCTGTGGACCATAGGGTCCCTTCCTGGGTCTTGATCCTGCTACTGATACTGGGACTGTGCAACCTCCAGGCCAGAGGTGAGTGCAGACCCTCCTGACCCTCCTGGATCCCTGAGGATCCCTTCCTGAGCCTCTGCACCTCCCCTCAGCCGACAGAGTTCTAGACCCTGACTTTCGTGAGAATTATTTTGAGCAATACATGGACCATTTCAACTTTGAGAGTTTCGGCAACAAAACCTTTGGCCAGCGGTTCCTGGTGTCAGGTGAGTGCTGGCCCCACAGCATGATCCCTAATCTGCTTATCCCTGGACTTATGAAAACCCATATACTTCCCATAGATAAGTTCTGGAAGATGGGCGAGGGGCCCATTTTCTTCTACACTGGGAATGAGGGGGATATCTGGTCCTTTGCTAACAACTCTGGCTTCATGGTGGAACTGGCAGTCCAGCAGAAGGCCCTGCTTATCTTTGCTGAGCACGTAGGTACCTGGACAGTTAGTTCTTGGCAGTCCCTGAGTTGAGGGAGGTGGGGAGCACAGAAGCAGTGGTTAGCCATCCCTTCCTGCTTCTTGCAGCGGTATTATGGGAAATCGCTTCCGTTCGGTGTGCAGTCCACACAGCGGGGATATACACAGCTGCTGACTGTGGAGCAGGCGCTGGCCGACTTTGCTGTGCTGCTCCAGGCCCTGCGGCAGGATCTTGGGGTCCAGGATGCCCCCACTATAGCCTTTGGAGGGAGGTGGGTCCTTGATCTCCTTTCAGGACAGATCTGTCCCCACAGGAGATTACCTAGAGTCCTACTCTTGCCCCACTGTAACGGCTCCACCCTGTTGTACCTCGTGACACCCTATACAAGGAGGGCCAAAGAGATGTCTCTTACATTCTCTACGTCCTCTGCCTAGCCCCATACATCGAAGCTTTACCTCTTCCTGGAAGCCCTTCTTGAGTGGATCTCATAGGCAGTGTATGCTATGTCGCTCACACTAGTGGGACACTTCCTTCTGATTTTGTCTCAGCAATGTCTTTGCTGGGCGAGGGCAGGGCACCCACAGGTGCCTTTTCCCAGTGAAGGCTGTATCTGCCTTGGGCCTGGGATCAGAATGTGTGGGTCTGACAATTTCAGGTCCTTTTTTTCCCACACTTGGGAAAGAGTAGCCTAGGCACCTCAGCCTGGAGGACAGTGAGGCTGCTGGCCCTGAGTCTCAGGCAGCTCCCCATAACCATAATCCTGTTCCCTGTCTCCCAGTTATGGGGGGATGCTGAGTGCCTACATGAGGATGAAGTACCCCCACCTGGTGGCTGGGGCACTGGCAGCCAGCGCTCCTGTTGTAGCTGTTGCAGGCCTCGGCAAGTCCTACCAATTTTTCCGAGATGTCACAGCGGTGAGTGAGGGGACTTAGGTAACCCAGACCAGTGCAGGAATGGCAGCAGCAGCAATCTTGGTCTCTTCTCCAGGACTTTTATGGCCAGAGTCCCAAGTGCGCCCAGGCTGTGCGAGATGCCTTCCAGCAAATCAAAGACTTGTTCCTCCAGGGAGGTGAGGAAGTCCTTCCTTACCTATTGCCACTTTGAGCGTTCATCCTTGCCCTTCACATTTGCCAGCAGTTTCCTCAGCCTTTTCTTCTGGCCTCTCTCTTCCCAGCCTATGACACCATCAGCCAGACTTTTGGTACCTGCCAATCAATTTCCAGCCCAAAAGACCTGACTCAGCTCTTTGGATTTTCCCGGAATGCATTTACTGTGCTCGCCATGATGGACTACCCATACCCTACTGACTTTCTAGGGCCCCTTCCTGCCAACCCTGTCAAGGTGAGGTGACTCTCCCTGGGTGCAGGACCCAGTGCTAGCCTGGTCCAAGAGCCTTGTAGCTACCTGCTTTTATGCCATCAGACACTATTCTGCTGTTGTATAGACTAGCAGCCCTGAACCACACTCTGTGAAAGGAGCCTCTGCTGAGATATTCTGCTGCCCTTCTCTAGGTGGGCTGTGAACGGCTGTTGAGTGAGGGCCAGAGGATCATGGGTCTACGGGCACTGGCAGGTGGGTCTACTTCTTGGCCTTCATTGGGTAAGAGTGGCAACTCTTAACAGTGACACAGGGCTGAGTAAGGAAAGGACCCATATCCCTGAACTGGGGCTTGGCCTGGTAGGCTATTTGAGATGTAGTATGGGACTCAGTACAGCTTTTGATATGACAGACCTGTGTTTTAGGAACTGGACATATGCTGAAGTGAGTAGCATGACTTCCCAGCCATCCGAGGAATGGGCATAGCTACCCCTGAGGATTGCTATGGGGCCTTTGGAGTCCCTAGCCACTAAGCTCTGTATGCCTGTTCTGCCCTGTTGTGGGGCAGGCTACTAGGGGTAAGGTAGTGCCCCTGGGCTGTTGAAATAGCCAGGCCAGCTAGTGGCACATGCTCCAGACTCCAAGTGCTTACTTCACTGTGCCATATGTATGTTAGCCTTCCTTCCAAGGTGGGTGGGGAGTGGCCTGAGCATGTACTAGCTGGCTGGCTCCTGGTCCCAGCGCTAATCCTATCCAGGGCTGGTCTACAACTCCTCTGGCTCGGAACCCTGTTATGACATCTACCGGTTGTACCAAAGCTGTGCTGACCCCACTGGCTGTGGCACTGGCTCTGATGCCAGGGCCTGGGACTACCAGGTTTGTGGACATAGAGGAGCTAAACTGGCAGGCATAGGGGTTGGGTGTGTGGCTTGCCTGTCTGACTTATTTCACTGTGGGGTACCTGTAGGCTTGTACGGAGATCAATCTGACCTTTGACAGCAACAATGTGACAGACATGTTTCCTGAAATCCCCTTCTCTGATGAACTCCGCCAGCAATACTGCCTGGATACATGGAGCGTGTGGCCCCGGCCAAACTGGCTGCAGACCAGCTTCTGGGGTGGCGGTAAAGGGCTGGGTTGATTGGGAAGGATCCTGTCCTCTGTCCTGAGCTGGTTCTACAGTGCCCAAATGCAGCTCACAGCTTTAAAACTCATACTGGATTCCTTACCACCACTTGCTGTGTTCCTTTTAGACCTTAAAGCAGCCAGCAATATCATTTTCTCCAACGGTGACCTAGACCCCTGGGCAGGGGGTGGGGTAAGTGCAGGCCTGGCAGCTGCCAGCCCCATGTAGGTATTCTTGCCAATGCTTGGACTGTGTTGCCAGGCTCCTCATAGAACCTTGCCTTTGCAGATTCACACTCTGGTTCATCTGGCCATTGTTGCTTCAGTCCTCATCGCCTCTTCTCTTTTGGGTTGCTTTTTTCCCCTCATCATTTAACGTAGTCTAACATCTGGCCCACCACTTCCACCTTTCCTTTCCAATGGAGCTATTTGAGGCTATAAGCTCATTATTGCTTCAGTTGCATCCCAAAGACCGTACTGGCATCCACGTCAGGATGCAAGGGTGGGAGAGAGCTTGCCTACCCGTGGCTTAAAGCACAGGCCACATGCCTCATTCTTCCAACAGATCCAGAACAACCTGAGTACATCAGTCATTGCTGTCACCATCCACGGGGGAGCACATCACCTAGACCTCAGGTGCAGTGTAGTGGAGTCCACCTCTGGGCCAGTGTTGGGTTGTGAGTTAGATGGGCATGAAGCTCACCCTGTATGCTTGCCACATGAGTGTCCCCATTCCTTATCTGCTTCTTAGAGCATCTAACTCAGAAGACCCCCCATCTGTCGTGGAGGTGCGTAAGCTGGAAGCTACCCTCATTCGTGAATGGGTAGAAGCAGCCAGACTAAGGCAACCAGCAACGCCACGGTGGCCTGGGCCTAAGAAGCAGCACCCTACGCCGGGCGGTGGTGGCGCACGCCTTTAATCCCAGCACTCGGGAGGCAGAGGCAGGCGGATTTCTGAGTTCGAGGCCAGCCTGGTCTACAGAGTGAGTTCCAGGACAGCCCGGGCTATACAGAGAAACCCTGTCTCGAAAAACCAAAAAAAAGAAAAAAAAAAAAAAAAGAAGCAGCACCCTTCCAGCTAAGATGCAGCAAAACCCACAGATCCCTTGTTTTATGTGAACAGTTGTGGCATGACAGTTTGCCTTACATCTTATAGACTGTCCAGATCCATGGTGGTTTGTCTAAGTTGGATTTCAAGCAAGGCGCTGGTGGTGGATAGACAAAACCGAATAAACATATGTTGATGTGTCCTTGTCTAGTAGGATTCATGTGTGGAGGGGTGAGATACTTGGAGATATGTTCTGTACAAAGTAATACACTGTACACAGCCTGCTGAGACCAGTTAGACATTTAATTAAGCAGAGACTCCAGCTCTCAGGTTTCCTGCTTCAGAGGAGGGAGGGAGGGAGGGAGGGAGGGAGGGAGGTCTGTCTCGACTGGACATCAGCCTCCCCTCCTAGGACCATCGCCATGCTGTCTGCTTTAACATGGCACTCAGCTTTGTGGACATCTACTCAGTTATTCTGATCCACAGTGACAGTTGCTGTCCCTTTGACACCAACCATATCTCCCAGAATACATCTGGGAGAGGAAGGCAGGAGATGGAGAATACACTTCTCAATTGCTTAGGCCTCGACCACAGCCTGAACCTGTCCACTCACAAGCCTATGGGGCTCCTGGCACAGGAGGCCAGCACAGGGAGAAGGGAACATCAATGGGAAGGGCCACAACTGATGGGGGGCTGGGGGCACAGCTTCTAGCCATGAAGACGAGACCTAAGGATATACTACCAGCCAGGTCTTTCTTTGTAGTCACCTTTGGTGTTAGAACTGGCTAGGAGTACAAGTGTTTGACAGGAAATCCCCAGAGCAACTACTGTACCTCAGAGGCACAGGATGGCTGCCACTGAGATGCTCTGAGCTGCAGATGAGGAGTTAGCATGTCAAATCTCCAGATCTTGGGGTGTACAGGGAAAACAGGCCCAGAGCCTTGAGGTCCTTTAGGTTCTGTCCAGTTTGCCCTGTGCTGTGCTACATGGAATTAGATAGGAGACTCTTGGTCAAGGCCCAGGAACAGTCTAGTAACAACTCATCAGAGACAACCTATTCCATGGGTTCAGATACCAAGGCACAAACTCCCATCCATCTTCCAGCCAGCAGCAGCATGTCATCCTCACAGATCATTCTGAGACCGCACAACCGAACATCCTGGCCTATTTGTATAACGGCCCCAAAGCCTGCCCTTCCCAGTTCTTCCTACCTTAAGTGGACAGAGCTCTGACTTTAGGGGGTAGTTACTGAGATGTTATCTAGAGAACTTGCTGTCCCCGTTAAGGTCTGTCTAGACAAACACCACCCCTTCCTCCCTCTCCACAAGACCCATTACAGTGGGACCAAGTCCACATTCTTCTCAGCTGAAAAATCACATTATACCAGGGTATCCTGGGAATAAGACAAATTTACTGTTCCATCCCCTGCCAGCCCAGTAGGGTAGCCACGAGGATCCCTGAGTCCAACCCGTAAACACTAGAGCCACAAGGACCCTCAAGGTCACACTGGCCCAGTGGACCTGTGGGTCAATCAGGAGTCAGGGCCTTCACAGGCCATCGGGCCAAGCCCAGCATGTCACTGGCTTGGGCTATCAGTCTGAACTCAATACAGGCACTGGATTCCTGGGTGGTCCCAGGCAGTGATAAGAAGTCTTGGGACTACCATGGGGCTGCCGGCAGCCAGCCAACAGGGTCATTCAGGCATGGGAATCGGGAGCCATATGAGGTTTCAAGGAAGTCAAAGGCTTGGTAGACTTGCCAGCCTAAATCCCAGAACCCATACCTGCTGGTCTGACTCTTGCCCCTCCCACCACCTTCATGAAAAGCTGAAACGGCAGGGACCTACACCTGGGCAGGAGCATCACACCTGACGGCTGCCCAAAACTATGTGGGCCCTGTGAAGGTCACAGACCCAGCAGGACCTCCTTGGCCTCCAATAGTGCCCAGGCCAGGTGCTGTCCTCCTAGGCAGGAGCCCAGATGGGTAGAGGGTGGGCTTCTGTGTTGAACACACAGGTGTCCAGACTGAGCAGCTCCAGGTCGTCAGAAAACAGCAGGTAGAGGTACTTCAGCGTCTCGCCCACAAAGAAGCTCTCCATCTTGTCCCTGGGCTCAGGCTTGTGGGGATTCTGGACGTTGTTGATAGAAGAATAGCCACCTGAGGGGACCTGCATTACAGTAAAGCCTCGATGACACAGGTTGAACCAAACCTTGGGAAGAACCACTAGCTAGATTTGTCACTCCGGCGACTTGTTCGACCCCAAATATATGGCCCCAGGGTAGGTTCCAGCCTAGCAACTCCCTAGGTAACAGCCAAGGTCAACCACAGTTCTACAGAGGACCTTGTAAAATGCCACCAACCCGAGTGGCCAAAAAAATTACCTCCAAAAGGATACAGCTACAGGACATATCCAAAGTCTAGCTTGTTATGCACAACCCAGGGCAGACACAGGCAAGACACTGGAGCTGTCGAGGTCTGGAGCAAAGAGCTAGGTGCCACACTTAGCTCTATAACCTTTTCTGACCACTTCACAGTAAGAGAGGGCAAGGTGGCCGGGCTGTGGTGGCGCACGCCTTTAATCCCAGCACTTGGGAGGCAGAGACAGGTGGATTTCTGAGTTCGAGGCCAGTCTGGTCTACAGAGTGAGTTCCAGGACAGCCAGGGCTACACAGAGAAACCCTGTCTCGAAAAACCAAAAAAAAAAAAAAAAAAAGAGGGCACGGTGGCTATGGACCCCAGCTGGGGAGGGGTGTGTCTGAGGTCAGTACTCTGGCTCACTACGAGTGTTTCATAAGCCATGGTATAACAGGGCAAGAGAAAAAGACGCTTCTCAGAAAAGCCTGGGTCCTGAGAGTGAGCCCGGAAACATTGGGCATCTAAGCCTGTAAAAACAACAGGGCCCCAATGCCACCAGATGCCACCAAGTTCAGCAGGATGACTACATTATCAAGGTCACACTCAACTAAGGAGCAGCCAACTGGAGGCCTCAGAAAACTGACGCTTCCCAGTCTGTGCCACAGCAGTCTCGAGGGTAGGTCCAGCTAGAGCTTTGCAGGAACCGAGCTGTGTCTGTCACCAGCCAAGACCACAGAGAGGCACCTAACAGCTCACCCGTGTGTACTTATTGAAGCTCTGCAGGATTTCCCAGCCCCAGTCCTGGTACTTGCGGTCCTTTGTGACACGGTACAGATAGAATAGGCTTTCCACGGTCTCTGGCCGCAGCAGGTTGTGCCTGTCAGCTGGCTAGGGGCAGAGCAAGAGGCTTAGGGAGTATCTACCCCTGCTGGCATAGCCCCTGCCCAAGTCCAGCCCACGCCCAGAGTTGGACCTGGCTCCACCCTTTATGCACTCACCTTGACCTCCACATCTTTATGATCTGCCCGAGGGTACATGTTGAAATGTGCAATCTCAGGGCTCAGACCTGTCTCCATCTGCTGGTTCATCTGGTAGCAGGTCTCCATGAGTGCCCGAGCCAGATCCATGTGGTCAGCTGGCAGGCCATGGTGAACGCCCAAAGCCAGTGTCCCTGGCAGGAAGCACACCAAGTGGTCCTGGAATCAAAGTACCTCCTCACATTTGGGCCTAGGCCCATGCTGCTTGGCTGGTATCAAGATTAGTCACCCTAACCAGAGACAAGCAGCCGCAGGACAGTGCAGCTCAGTGGCACTTGTCACATGCAGACTCAGGTCCAAGCAACGCACTCTGTGCTCTAGAGTCTAGGGAAAACTACAGTGCAGGTTCTTACTGGGGGGCATACTGACCCAGCTTTTTGGATCCCCTCAACCTGCCTACAAACACCTTCAGAGATCTGTGCACTTCAGGAAGCACAGAGAGGACCACAAGGAAGAGCTGCACCTGGGAGAGCCCATGTCTGCTACTGCAGGTTATGTTGGGCCTCTGCTTGGGGCTGTCACGAGAATAGGTCAAGCCAGGCAGCAAAGGTCAACCTATGGCCATGCACATAGGTGATGACGAGATTCCCTTGTTACTACAAACAAAAGCTAAGATCTTCAAAGTCACAGACAAAGCAGCAGATTCCCAAAGGTTCTGTCAGTCCACACAACTTACCATCTTCGCACTGAAACGGCCGTGAGCAAGTTCTCCCACGAAGGTGAGCTTTTTGGGCTGAGACTTCCGAAGCAGATGTGCTTTTATCCCCTCAATGGCTTTAACATAGTCTTCCAGCAACCTGTGAATAGCACAAATCAACTTACTCTGAGCTCTGTCACGGTACTGTCTTCCTCAGACCTATGGGACCAAGAGCTTCACTATGCTTGACCCACAGATGAGCGCTACAGACCTGGCCCTGCTCAGGAAGCAACAGGCCCTTGAGCACCTGCCAACTTAAAAATCGATACAAGGCGGGCTGTGCTGACTGAATGGCCCCCACCATCTAGGAAGTGAGTTCCTGTCGAGGAGCCAAACCATCTGCATGACTACTGCTTCTAGCCAAGGGTGGGGACAGAAACTGGGGGCTCTGCATCAAGGCAGTGGTCAGGCCTCACTGTGTCTCCTTCTTGCCACCCTGGATCCACTGTTTCAGCAGATATTCGTAGTAGCTGTCGGCCCTGGCACCCAAGGTGAACACTCTCGGGTGGGTGAAGAGGCCGCTGTTCGTGTTGATGAACATAGGCACCAGCCCGTCTTTCTTCCCAGACAGGGAGTGGATGTGCTTTGTCACGTCCTCCACGGCCTCCTGTGGCAGACAAGGGGAAAGCGGGCTTACTCCAGTCAATTCTCCTCACACTTCAGGAAATGGAAGGGAACACATTCTGACCTGTTCCATGAAGCCAGCAATATCCTAGCACCAAAGCCATAGGAAAGCACCCACAGGAAGGAAACTAAACCAGTTTCTTTACCAAAGTGGATGCAGAGATCCTCCACACATGCCAGCAAGGCAAGTTAGCATCCTATTAAGCTGTCATGCCTCATGACTCAAACATAATGACAGTTCAGCACATGAAAATCACTAAATGTCACAGATATCAACAGAATGGTATCTCAATAGACTAAACAGTATCAGATCAACCAATGCATAATAGCTCAGGACTGTGACTCAGGAGAATTGCATCAAGTTCAAGACCAGCCTGGACCACAGACTAAGACCCTGTCTCAGAGAAACATATGAACAAACAAACAAAAACCCCAGAACTGTTAGAAGGAAACCGATTCTTCCCTTTCCTGATAAAAATATTCAACAACAACACACTCAACCAATGAGAAACAAAAAGGAACTACTTCAGGTTTGACTGTGGCTTAGTGGTATCGAGTATGCATGGCCCTTAGATTTGCCAATCTTTAACACAAAAAGACCAAATAAACCAAAAAAGGGGACCATCTCAACATAACAGAGACTGTATGTGAGAAAATCACAGACATATCATAAAGAATAAAATGAGATATTTAGAAATCAATTGCAGAGGTGCAAGACTTCTATAATAATCTATACAGTACTCAGAGAGCGCTGGGTGTGGTGACGACATACATCTTTAACCTCAATCCCAGGACTAAGGGGACAGATATAGAGGCAGGTAGATCGCTGAGTTCAAGACCAGCTTGGTCTATACAGTGAGTTCCAAACTAGTTAGTACTACACAGTGAGACCCTGTTTCAAAACAAAACACCACTGAAGAAAGGTATTAAAACTGATACAAGCTGCTGGGTAGTGGTGGAGTACGCCTTTAATCCCAGCCTTGAAAGGCAAAGGCAAGTGGGATCTCTGAGTTCAAGGCCAGCCTGGTTTATAGAGAGTTTCAGGACATCCAGGGCTACACAGAGAAACCCTGTCTCAAAAACACAAAACAAATAAACAAAAAATTGGTCTAAGTAAATAAAAGCTCTGTGTTCACAGGTTAGAAGTGTTGAGGTATCCAGGCTCCTCAAAGTAACCTACAAAGTCAATGCAATCCCTATCTTCTTGAAACACAAAAAAGCCTAGCCCAAAACGTACATACAATTTTCAAGAAATCTCAAGTCACCAGATCAGTGCCTAGCCCAATCGTCACCAGAAAGACTCCCTCTTGCTGCTAACGGGAACAGATGCAGAGACCCACAGCAAAACATTAGGTGGAAAGAGATCTTCATTGGGTTCAAAGCTCTCCTTGAAACTCTGGAAACATGGTGGAGGAGGAGGAATTGTAGGAGCCACAGAGGTTGGGAACACAGCCCACATAATCAGATAAGCAGGGCTCATAGGGGCTGAGATTGAAGTGGCCATCACGGAGCCTGCATTGGTCTGTGTAAGATACTCTGCATAAATGTTATGGTTCTTAGCTTGGTGTTTTTATGGAACTCCTAACAGAGTAGGGATGTTTCTGACCCTTTCCTGTGCTCTTGGGACCCTGTTCCTTCTAATGGGTTGCCTCACCTGGCCCTGATATGAAGATTTGTATCTAGACTTGTATCTTGTTATGGTATGTTTAATTGATATCCCTGGGAAGTCTGCTCTTTTCTGAAGAGAAACTGAGGAGTGATCTGGCAGAGGGAAGCGGGAATCTGGGGTATGATGGGGAGGAAATTGGGAGGGGTTAAGGGAGGGAAACTGTGGTGTGGATGTATTAAATGAGAGAATAAAGTAAAGAAAAGAAAAGAAAAAAGAGAATGGATAAAGTTAGAAGACTTGCTATCCCTACCCAAAACAAAGTGGGCCAGCCAAGAGGCAACGCAGGGGCAGCTTCAATGCTGGGAGCATGGAGCAAAGGTATGCAGGGTCCTGAGTTTAATTCCTAACACAAAAAGGTGATTGTCAAAAGAACTCAAATAGACCTTTTTCCAGAGCAGTAATACAAGCACATGAAAAGACACTCGTTGTCAGGAACACTAGGGAAATACAGGTCAAATCACAAGGAGATGCTATCTCACACCAGCCATACTGGCTGTTCATAGAAAGTCTGATCCACCAAAAATATGCTGTTGAGGATGAGAACCTGGGATCTTGTTATTACTGACGGGAAAGTAATACTGATGGGTGCTGTCCCAGTGGGAAGCATTATGCTGGTCCTCTGAAAGAGTAAGCACAGAATTACCATGTGACCCAGCAAGGCCAGTTCAAGTGAAGAAGCTCAAGGACTCAAAGTGCATCTCAAACAGCTCTCTGTATGCTACTCAGAGAGCTAAGACCTAGAAGCAACCAAATGTGTACATCAGCAGCAGAGCAGCAAAACCACAGTGAAGTCATTCGTGTGTGGGGTGATTATAGCAGAGGTGATTATAGGAACCCCAACAACTGCAGCAGTACAGAGGAGGCTGCATGGAAGACACCATCAGGCGATGGCAGTGTGGCCTCTACCCACATGAGTCCCTTGTACATACCCCCTCCCAGAAACAGAAGCCTGGAGCTGTCAGGGGCTGGGAAGAGAAGCAGAGTTTTTAACTGGCACAAGTTTGCACTGCACAAGATGAGGAGGGCTATTAATAGATGGTTTGATATAACAAACATATTGAAAAGCAGTAAGGAACAATCAGGTGGCCCAGCAGGTAAAGGCATTTGCCATGTAACCTAGAGACCTGTGCTTACCCTTGAACCCAGTTATAAAAAAGTAGAAAGACAGAACAGAGTCCACCTTAGTTGTCCCCTGACTTACACACACACACCACAACAAGTATAGCCCCATACAAATAATTTTAAATTGTTTAATTAAAAAAAAAAAAGAAATTCACACAGCAAAACAGCATAGCAATTACACTTGTGAAAAGCACTTAGACCCAGGGAAACCATATCTAGCTAGAACCTGCTCTTCCTACCTGAATTTTTTTTTTTAATTTTTTGCCAGAGATTTTATTCTTATTTTATGTGAATAAGTGTTTACCTACATGTATACCACATGCGTGCGTGCCTAGTGCATATGAAGGTCAAAAGAGGGTGTCAGACTCCCTGGAACTGGAGTTATAGAGGTTGTAAGATAGCTATGTATGGTGGGTGACACCTGTAACTCCAGTACCCTGGAGGCAGACAGATGGATTTCCACGGTCTATGTACTGATTGTTTAATCGCGCCAGGGCAATATAGTGAAACTCTGCCTCAAATCCAGCAAACAAACAACAAAGAAGCACAAAACAGAGGGTTGTGAGCCACCATATAGTTTCTGGGTACCGAGTCTGTGTCCTCTCGCAAGAGCAGCAAGTGCTCTTAACCTCTATCCCCTACCTGGAATTTCTTAATCCCAGTAAGACGGGAGAGCTCCCGGAACTCCAACTGAATGCTCGTCACTTCTGCCACCGTGCTGTCTGAAGTCCACTGGGGTGAGTGGGCAAATCCAGTGCCAATGTTCACATCAGAGAATGGAATCTTGGAGGGTGTAGTGAAGGCAGGCATTAGCCGGTTTCCAAAATCTTCCTAGAATAAAAGCACCAGAGATCCAAGTTAGAGTGGTTTTCCACATTTCACCCATCTGCACCCAACCAAGTAGAGAAGCATGGCTTGGTGGCTTTCTAACACCCATTACACAGCAAAACTAGACAACAGCATCAACAGCAACAACGTTCCTATACATCTCAGCAGCAAAACAGTGTGATGGCAGCTCACAACCCAAATTCCACACACCAGGTCACAGGGAGCCTAACCAGGAACACTCACAGCTTTGCTCAGGAAGAGGCTGTCCCCCGACAGGTGGTAGGTACTCAGCAGGCCCCCTAGGATGCGGATAGTACTCTCAAACAGGTTGACATCCACATTCTTCTCAAAGTCTAACTTCTCTGACACCCATTTCCTGGCTTCCTTAAATTCTGTAGAATGAAAAGATTGAGAGGGAAAGAGCAAAGTCCACATCTGTCACTCTGTGGTAGAGCAAAGTGTGGTGGCACACGCCTGTCATCTTAGCACTTGGGAGGCTGAGGCAGGAGGACTGCCAAAAGTTCAAGGCCAGGGGCTACAGAGGACCTTCTGGGATGACACCTAAAGCTATATACTAAGATCCTGTTTTTTACTTGGTTTATTTTTATGTATATGGGTGGTGTCTGTGTGTCTGTGTGTGTGCGTGTGCACAATGTATATACAATGCCTCCAGAGACCGGCAGAAAGCGTCAGAGTCCCTCTGGAAATGAGGTTATAGATGGGTGGTGGGAACCAAATCTGGATTCTCTGGAAGAGCAACCACAAGTATTAAGCCATTTCTTCAGTCCTCTTGTTTTAAATATATTTTGACATTTTATTTTTATTTGACATGTATGGATGTTTTGCCTGTATGAATGTCTGTATACTGTGTGTGTGCATCAGATTCTCCGCAACTGAAGTTATGGATAGTTGTTAGCTGCCCTGTGGGCGCTGGGAACAGAACCTAGTCCTTTGAAAAGCAGCCAGTGCTCTTAAACACTGAGCTAACACTCTATCCCCTAAGACATTGGTTTTTTAGAACCAAAACCAAAAAAATAGTCAGGCATGGTGTAGCATGCCATGGAAGTAGTATCTTCAGCTATACAGCGAGCTCAGGGTCAATCTAGGCTATCTAAGACACGCCTTTAAACAAACAGGGCAGAAGGGATGGTCAGTGAATGAAGGCACTTACTGCCAAAGTCTGACAACCTGGGTTCAGTGCCTTGAATCCACAAGTTGGCCTCTGACCTCTGCATGTGTGCCATAGTACACACAAGTGCCCACATACGTACACACACAAAAGAAAGGAATTTAGCAAACAACTCCAAAACAAAATGCCTTCCAGCAGGAAGGGTCCCCTCCAGGTGCCATGACACAAGCATCACGTGAGTGGCTCACGGAGGCCATCAAGCTGTTCAAGCAATCAAGCAGATTAACCTTGGGGCAGGAGTGGCAGCACGGCAGTTAGAGAGCTGTTCTCGTGGGATGGCTGTCAGCACCATAAGCAGACTCATAACCATGTGTCACTCAGGATTTAGAGGATCTGATGTCTCTGGCTTTGCAAAGGCACCTGTGCTCATATCATGCATACACCTACATGCAGGCACACATGACTACACATGATCAAAAGTAAGTCTTTTAAAAGAATAAAAATTAAAATAAAAACAATTATCAATTTAGAAATTAAGGACCCACACTATCAAATCAAATGGAATCTGAAAAACCTCAGTACAGTATCTTGGAGCTACAAAGCCAGAGCAAGTCCAGCCCTCTATCTGCATCAGAGAAGACTGGCTGAGAGTCCAAGGCCACACTCAGCTCTTCAGGAGGTACCTGACTGCTGCTCTGAGCAAGGGCCTGGATAAGAACAGGCCCTGAGCACAGCAAGCACACATTTTCCTGTATCCAGGACAAGAGAAACCAAAGTCCAATGGAGCAACACTCACAGCCCTCGTGGAGGGACTTTCACATGCTGCTCTGGCTTATGTATCACACATGGAAACTCAGTCTGATCAAAAAAGGAGTCATTACCTTGCTTCAGACCCAAAATCCACATGGTATCCAAGGCATCGATCAGGGTGAGACCCAGGCCAAACCACTCACTGAAAGTTTTGGACACAGGCTTCAGTTCATCATGGCCCCAAGCGAACTTTTGGTAGCCCTTCCAAGCGTGGAGAAAGGCCTCAACCACGCCCTTCTGACGCTCGTTCGGGGGGGCTGGAGAAGAGAAAGCATGGTGGCAGGGCAGCCCCACTCTGGGGCAAGCAAGGCTTCCAAAGTCCCCCTGTGACCCTTCAGTCAATGTAGCAAGATGGACACTGGCCAGATGCACGAGCTACAGTGATTTGGGAAAAGCAGGAGGCCAAAGCACAGGTTAGACCCTCAGTGACACAGTGACAAATAGGCACATCACCTGGAGGCCACACTCAACAGTACTAGGACCTTGGGTCCCTCTCTGTTCAAGAGGAAGAGGGCAGCATTCCTATGGCCAACACTACACTGCAAATAACAGATGTGGAGCCTGGCCACCAATGTCTAATGTGAACTTAGGAGTATGCAGGAACCAGTGATTGGGCAGACTGTGGCAGATACACCCAAGTGTACAATTCTCCAACCAGATGAGCTTCCAGAGTCCCACGGGAACAACATCAGCACTTATGTGGCCTCCTTGAGAGTGCCTTAGCCCCAACTGGGAGCTTTCTTCTCCTAAACTAGGGAGCACATAGCCATCTGTAGGTTGTCACACCACATGCCTCTTCCCAGGAGGTTCTAAGGTTCAATGTACAATGAAAGCTATGCAGACATCTCCTACCTCAAAGATTATATAATAACAGAAGCAGGCCAAGCACACGGAGAATGGGAATGGGCTAGTACACACAGAACACAAGGCCAGGACAAGCACATCTCAGTAAACAGTGCTATGTGGCCCAGAGACCTGTGAGGTCTAGAAATAAGCTAACATCATGGGACACTGTGTCTCTTCTTTCCATTAACAAGACCTTTATTTTTATTGATTCTGGCGGTGGTGCACACCTTTAATCCCAGCAATCGATAGGCAGAGGCAGGAAGACCTGCCTCTACAGAGGGAGGGCAGCCTGGTCTACAACAGATCAAGCTGCAGGACAGCCAGGGCTACAAAGAAAAAAAGCCCTATCATAAAAAAGCCCAAAAAGAATAAAAAATATTTTTATTGACTCTTTATTATTAAAATGTATGACTTTAATTTTGTGTATCTTCTCATGTTCAGGCACAACCTGGCCCAAGAGCAGAATGGCAAAACCAACCTCTCCAATGGGGTATCCTTTCTGGCTGCTCAGTGAAAAGCCACTGATAGTCACAATGCTGTAAGAGGTATGTGGACAGAGCATAGATGCTGAAGAGTGAGCTGCACAGGGGTCAGGCGGGAGGTCATGACCTGGATGTAGAGTGCCCACCCCCAGGGTCTTGGGCACAGGTTCTGGTGAGGCAAGGGGGTGGGAAAACTCACCTGGCTCTTTCCATATCTTGGATCCCAAAACCAAAGGTTTGATGGAGGCTTCAGCTCTTTTGGAAGGAAGTTCAGTGGCCTGTTCAGGCTCAATCACTGCTCCCCGCCAGCTTGAGTAAAGAGGGGAAGGCAGTCAGATCAACCCTCCAAACCCACACTATGTCTAGCACAAGGCCTGCCCCGAGAGGAAATCATCTGGTAGGAGCAGAGCACACAGAGTGACCGAAAAACAACCAGGCAGCCCTGACACATACACACATCACACTGTCCAGAACACAGCACTCTTCCTGGGTACAGGCAGCCCTGACACACACCACACTGTCCAGAACACAGCACCCTTCCTGGGTACAGGCAGCCCTGACACACACCACACTATCCGAAACATGGTACTTTATCTGGGTACAGCCATCTGGGTGTGGAGAAGATAATCCTAGGGCTGCTCTAAGAAAAAGTCTACATTAGAGAGACCTAAGCAAGAGGAGTGCCTGAGACCTGCAGAGAATCTCAAGGAGCAACCCTGGAGAGGGATGCAGCGGCCAGAGGCTAAAGCTTCTATAGTAGTAACTGTAATTTACTGAATAAGCCCAAAGTGAACTAGGTAGGTGCAGGAGTCAGGGTACCCTCCTAGACTGGTGCTATCTCTACTCATATGACACCTGGGGAGTCCACTTATGGTTCTGTGTGATGATAGGCACACCAGGAACAGGCAGAGGTTTGCCACATGACACAGTTAAGCATGGACCTAAAGGTTTTCTTTTTTGGTGTTGCTATAGTTTATCTTTCTCTTCTTTTCATTTTTTTGAGACAGGGTTTCTATGTAGCCACGCCTGTCCTGGAACTTGCTCTGTAGACCAGGCTGTCCTCAAACTTACAGAAATCCCCGACTTTTTGTCTCTCAGGTGTTGGAATTAAAGGTGTGCACCACCATCTCTCAGGTCTATAGTGTATTTCTTTTTTTCTTTGTATTTTATCTGTATTGAATGTTTGCCTGCGTGTATTTGTACTGCCTATGTGCCTGGTGCCCTCAAAGGTCAGAGAAGTCAGATCCCCTGCAACTGTAGTTACGGATTGTTGTGATTTGCTATGTGGTGCTGAGAACTGAATCTGGGTCCTCTGCAAGAACAAGTCCTTAACCTCTTATCTATCTCTCCAGCTTCCTCCTCTCCTCCCCCCCTCTTCTTTTAAGTAACTTTGGCTAGCCTGGAACTTCCTATGTAGACAAGGCAGGCCTCAAACAGATGTCCACCAGCCTCTACCTCTTAAGTGCTAGGATTAAAGGTGTCCACTACCACATCTGGCTTTTTTCTTTATTTTCTATAATACAGGCTGCTTCACAGATTTGCATGTCACAGGGGCCAGGCTAGTCTATGTCATCCCACATGCTGCTGAAGCAAGAACACAAAGGATTGCTTCAAAAACCTGAGCACAAGTAGACTCAGCTACTGACCTCCACTCTAAGAGCATAGCATAAGCAAGCCCAAGCTGGCTCAGACACTGGCTTGGGAAGCACCTTTTACTCCTGCACACAAGATCACGAGCTTCTCCCTGAGACTTCTCTACACTGCTACTTCCACACTCTCTCCTTATGTGCTCATGGGTCTAAGACTGCAGGCTCCACATCCTCAAAACAGCTGCACAGGCTTAGAGCTTAGGCCACTCCTGATGCTTTCAAGTGTGGCACTGAGTAGGAAATGAAGCTGAAAGCCATCTAGGCTGAGGTGTCTGTGGATACTGAAAAGTGTCAGCTTGGTCCAGGGGATCAGGCCATGCCCTCTCATTCTGCTCACTGACAAGCCAGAAGAAGCTAGAAAAGGAGGTGCCTGTCAACCAGTGGTCACTCCCGAAGCTGCCTGCATAGAGAAAGGCTGAATCTTACTTTCCTCCTCACTCCTCTCCCTCTTGAAACTCTACCTTCACGTTCCTTAAAACAGCCTTGCTCTCAGACAGACCAGCAAACCATGAGAACAGGTCATGGGCCAAATGTGGCTCTGAAATCTGACTGCATAATGAAACTCACTAAAGCTATCTTTAGAATACTGTCTGTTTCAAATGGGAAATATGACACAGACAAAATGAGTTTTCAGTAAACAAAACCAAACTAAACAAGCTGGCACCAGATACTGCACATTCAGATCCATCTCCTGCTAGCGGTACCTGATGACGGTTCTCTCTGTGTTTTCTTCCTGCTGAGCCTTCCCCAGGGCTGCTTCTCTCTCCTTAGCATCATCCTGCATCCCATCCTTGGAGACCGTGTTGGGAGGTCTAATCTGCAGGTGAGGAGGGCCCCGCCGAAAATGCCTTTGCCGCTTCTAAACCAAAATCAGAGTTGCATGTGAAAATATATCACCTATCACAGCCTGGGCTTCTCTATATATGTAAGATTCTGTCCCTCAAGTGTGTATCCATACCCAAAGAAGGCAGTGGACTACTGTGCTCTACCAAGCCTTGAAGGGAACTGGTTCCACTTTTTAGCAGTCTGAAGGTCTGAGAGATAAGCTGCTTAAGAACTTGGAGAAATACCAAATAATTAGTACAGGTCTGGATAAAGAGTTGAGAGCCCTCATAGGGATATTTTGAGACTGAAACAGTCCCAGAGATAAGTAAGAATGGCAAAGATAAGAATGCTGTGAATGACAGCCATCGGAAAGGGCTATGCAGTCTCCATCTGAGAAAGTGTAGAGAGCTGTGGGTTGTCACAGACAACAGGACTGAAAAGGACAGGCCATGCTCACACCCAGGGCAGGCCTGTCAGTAAGCTGGCACATGCCCCAGACGCCTGAGCTTCCAGAGCAACAGGCACAGAGACCCGCTCTCAGTTTTACTCATGGCCTCAATAAATAACCTGGTAAATTATGGCAAAACATACACGCAGTGGATGACCTGACTATAAGAACATGACAGAAAATACCAAAGATTCAGGATAAAAATACACATGACAGAGCACGGTGGTGGCACATGCCTTTAATCCCAGCACTCGGGATGCAGAAGCAGGCAGATCTCTGTGAGTTTGAAGCCAGCCTGGTCTACAGTGAGTTCCAGGACTGCCAGAGCTACATAGAAGAACACTGTCTTAAACAAAACAAAACAAAGCATATGGCATAAATCTAATCCCAGCACTCTGGAGGCAGGGGCAGGTGAATCTCTGGATTCAGGGGCAGGAGTTTGGTCTACAGAGTGAGTTCATGATAGACAGAACTACACAGAGAAACCCTGTTTCAAAAACCTAACCAACTAACTAACTAGGTCCACATGACACCTATCCTTAATTGTGTTCAAATGTGTATATGCAATTAAATCTGCTAAAGTACAGCAAGTATTTAGAAAGCTATCTTGAGTAGGGTGGCAATGGTGCCTTCCCATGACACCTGTCCTAGCATTCCAATTTCCTCCTTAAATACATGTGACATTCAAGTCAGCTGAAGCCTATTTCAAAGCTCTTTTCTCCTTGTAGAGAAAAGCCAGAGGCTGAGCACCTGACAGAGGACAGCAAACTGAACTGCTGTAGAAATTCACAATGCTTCCTCTCCCACCTGGCAGCCCCACTACTGCAGGGAAACTCCAGAGGAGGGAAGTTTCCACAGACTGAAACATTCCATCCTGCAGGAAGATCCCTGAGAAGGAAACCCCTGGAACTGACCAAATTCACAGGCCCCTCACTGTCAGAGTAAGCGATAAAGGCTGAAAGTCCCTCTTAGAGGAACTTAGCTGCAATGAAGACCCTCAGACAAGCCAAGCTATAAAGACTGAGAACAGACCAGCTGCCTGAAAGAGCAGACCACAGAGCTGCCTGGAAAAGGGTTAGACTAACTGGAAAGGACATCATTCTCCAGCCTGTTGAGCTGCCTGCAGACTGCCCAGTAGCTCCAGGTTTCCAGCTCTGTGAACGGTCACCCATGCTGGGTGTGCTTTGGTGATAGTTATCTTTGAGTCCCTTCTCATCCTGTGAGTAACTCCAATAAAAGTCACTGGTTCACCAAGTTGGACTTTGGTCTGTCGTGGGTTTCCTATCTGGGCATGAGTAGACATATGTGCTATGCCTCTCCAGGAAAAGTTTTATCACACAACACCTATGAATTCTTTCTGTTAGGGTATTTCATGAGCCAGAGGCCAAAGAACACAAGGAAACTGGAAGCAGCAGCATCGTGGGAAAACTAGCCTGTGCACAGACCCTGTCTAGAAGCAAGTCTATCAACCAAAAGCTCTATGAACAGTTCTACAGGGATGGCATGCTGACTGTCTTTTTCTAAACTCTCTCCTCTCTCCATTATGGCCTGACCAAGGGACTTGCCAGCTCATCTACTTTCTTGTACTTTCCAGTGAGCATCCAGTAACTTAGTAAAAAACAAGCTTTTTGAAGAAAAAGTACAACACTCCCTGATTAGAATGAAGGTACCCCTAAATTTGCCAGGACATCCCACGCTTGGATCCCAGGCCAACCTGCACCCATTCTTGACCTGGAACCAGTACCGAGGAGACATTTTTCTAGAGTGGCCATCAGCAGAGGTTTCCTGTTTGTACAATACCCTATAGTCCTCAGGGCTATGAAACCTACACCTGGGCCCAAGACTCTACCCACAGGGGAAGTTGAAGACTTGCAACATCTGCTACATGTAGTCTTGGCAATGTGAGAAAAAAAGAAACCAAAAAACCAAATAGCCAAAGACTTTAGAGATGTAGAACTCAACTGAAGTGGACAACTCTCTCAACTCTCAGGAAATGTGAGTCTGGCCCTATCACAAGTCAGCTCTCGGCAACTGGCTCTTTGATTGCCTCTGACCTACCTCTGGGCTCCATTCTATCTGCCCCATTCCCCACAACCCTAAGCTTCTCAGATTGGGTGCCCCAGGATGAGGCTTGCCTGTTCCAACCCCTTCTAGACAAACTACACTACCTCTACCCAGGATTCTCCAGAAATGCCTCCTCTGGCAAGCGATTCTAAAACCACCCACCCACAATGGTCCCATGCTGCCTGTTAGGTACAGCACGGCAGTCAGATGGAACTCCTCAATGCTCCTAAGCTGGCTCTTGCTCATTTTTCAAAGGGCCCTCTGTATGGGAACCCTCACTCTTCCATACCGTGACCTCGTTGGGTAGCATCATGCTCCACTGTGCAGCACCTCTGCCTGGGCACAGCTCTCCTCTCCTTCCTTACATCTTCCGCACCACACTGTCCACCCCCTTAGGCACCACCAGAACCACAAATGGACAGATCCCAGTTCCTACACCCCAGCCTGGCCCCACCAGAAGGTCACTTTACAAAGACCTATCTCCTTGCCCTGCCCACCTAGTCAGAGACAGGGACTTCTTAAATGGAGCCAGGAATGGTTCCATCTCTCAGCACTGATCTGTACTCTGCCACATGCCAACCAACTGTCTGATCCTATTTATTGCTGGCCTCTCACCTGCCCTTCCTATCAGCTTCTGTGGTTCTTCCAAAGAGAAAATTTCTTTCCTCATAGGTGGGCAGCCAGCACCTGACACAGGAGCTGAACCATGGTGGCATTCAGAGAGAATGAAGCAAGTGCCTGCTTCTTTCCTCCCCAACTTTATACACACAGTCTCAACTGAGCCAGTGTGAGGTTGAATGCGACAGGGAAAAGAAACACTTCAGCTTCTTTGAAGCACTACTTGCCAACTTAGAATGCTCCAAATAAACCCCAGTGACAACCCCACATAGCCTTTACTAGAAATACCTGAGAGAGCATGTCTGCAAACCCTTCTGGTTCAGCACTTTCCTTCTGGGGAGCTGGTAAGACAGGCAGGACTTCTAGCTTCATCTTCTCTATTTGTGCAGGTCCGCCACTCAGAGCTGTGGAAGCAAACCTTTCACCTTAAGGCCCATAAGCTCCAGAAGAGACGTCTAAACAGGTGTTATTTGTTTCAGGTAGTGCTCCAAGAAGCTACTGAACTCACAAAGACCCAGAGGAATCAAATCTGGTATGAGTGTTGTTGTTTTCTGGAGACAGAGTTTCTCTGTGGATCCCTGGCTGTTCCGGAACTCACTTTGTAAACTAGGCTGGCCTCAAACTCACAGATTCACCTGCTTCTCCCTCCCAAGTACTGGGATTAAAAGTGCCACCACCTCCCAGCTTGAGCAGGGACTTATGTAGCCCAAGCTGGCCTCAACTCCTGATCCTCCTGCTTCTATTTCCCAAGTGCTGGGGCTACAGCCTTTGCCAGGCTCAATCAATTCTTTTTCAAGCATTTGGTAGAGTGTGTCCTTAAGCACAACATACAATGCCCCCCGCCATCGACTTAATAGTGCCTAAACAGACAGCTTGATTTGAGCAATTTGAAGCAATGTTTGGGTCTCCAACCTTAAAGAAGCTCACAAGGAATCCTAGGCATCCTCTCAGGATATCCATGGGTCCTCAGCAAACACATGGTAGGGACATGATTAGTGCTGATAGATCTGACAATACTGACTAACGCTCTCTGACGAGGAGAGCAGCCTACAGGGTCACCTGTACACCAGATGGTCATACTGAGCTCCACATTTTCCCCTCTGCTGTATTTCTTGTCCATCTGTCACCACATGCCTTATGGTACTATTTTATCTAGATTGCAATAATGTACCTGACGTCAGCCTGCATCCCCTCTGCCCTAGCACCACTGGTATTTGATACCTTTCCACTGGTCAGCGGCCTGAAGAGAATACAGGAATCCACAGAGAATCAGAAAGCCCAGGACGAAGAGAATCACATTCCGCTGTAACCTCGAAAGCTGCTTCCATTTCTAAGAAAGAGCCAGAAAATGACACTTGTCACAGACTTGGCTAGGAGAGCAATTCAGAGAGACTCTTACTTAGGTACGTCCTTACTTGAGGGCAGCTAAGTTCCCTCTCAGCAAAGTTTATATTGACAGGACAGTGCCAGAGGTGACAGAGCACGCTAGCTCATACGTGGCAAAAAGAACTGTACACCCTGTGTCCCGCTGCACGTGCACTGGAGAAAAACTAAAATTCCCAGGACTTGGCTCAGGCGTCGACGGACCATACATGCTGTGGCCGTGCCCCTCAGCCAAGGACCTCCAGGGAACCTGGCATTAGGCAGGGGAAGTAACAACAGCCAGACCCAAGCCACGAGAACCATACGCCGCACAGAAACTTCTGGAAGCTGGAAGAGACACAAATGCTCCAGCTAGGCACTTCCCTCGGTAAGACTTCCCCGGCCCAGACCCCGCCTCACCCTCCAACAGGAACGCCGCCGCCGGCTCTTGCTGTTGTCGTAGCTCTCGCCCAGGCTCAGCGTAACCGAGATGAAGTCCCGGTGAGGCGCCGGCGGCGGCGGCGGCGGTGGGTACATAACTGCGAAGCTGGCCCAAGAGACCTCGCTTGCTGGAGGTGTCAGGAAGCCCAAGGCTGAGAAAGACCGCGGACTGCCATACCGAAGGCGTCCGCACCCCGCCCATCGCCCTAGACATCAGTGCGCACGCTCCGCGGTTTATCGGTCACTGCGCAAACTCAGAACCCTAGTCTAGTCACCGCGCCTGCGTACACCCTTGGGCTGGTATTTCCTGGTGGGTGGCTTGCATCAGGATACCCGCCCCTGCACCGTGACGTTATTTCATCGCGTCCTTACGTCACTGAATCGCGCGCACCCGCTCCCTTGCGAGCCTCCTGCAGACTCCCTAATGGGAGCGGGCTGGCTACGGTTTGGAGACGTGTCCCTTGTTGCAGTTATGTCTGCCTTGAGTTGCGAACCATCTCCGTTGCCGGAGTCCTGCGCTCGGTCTCGAGGAGCTAGGTCGGGCGTCACCCTGGCGCGCCTGGAGGTGAAACTCAAAACTCCTGACTGGAGGAAGGGACGGCCCTGCTGAGTCCTGGGCTGGCTCTGCGCCCTGAGGCCGCGGCCTGTCCTTTCTAGTCGCTCCGTGCTGGGAGCGATCCTTTCTGCGACCATTCCGCTCCGAGCCCTACCTACGTACTTGGCAACGAGTTTAAAACGACCGTACTTTTTCATGCGCGTGCTTCCCACGAGGGAAACACCCAAAACGACAAAACTGCCCACTCTCCAGCGGGTGAAACCGCTGCTTTCCAACAGGTTACTTATGGTATTTCTGGGTGTGTGGAGTTCTCTAGGTCGCGATCATTTAGTTTGAATCTTATACAGAAAACGCACCTGATCCCGCGCCCCTTCCCCACTTTTAAGTCCTCGCTGGTCTCTATTGCAACAGTGCCCTCAAATGTAGGTTTTTAGAACCATGGCAGATGGTGCGATGACTTTGAAGTCTTCCTAAAATGAAGGCGGAATTCTTATTGGCTACTCATGCCAACTCAAGCCAGGTCTGCACATTCCCAAGTTCTGCTGCTCATGACCATGAAATGGCAATTGGCATGCCAAAGGGGTAGTTAGAGCTCGAAGTTAAAAAATAAACCTCTGGCAGAGGAAATAGGAAGAGTTTGTTAGACCAATAAAACAAAGTCTGTATCTGTAAATCTTTCAATTCAAGCCAGACAAGAGTGATAAGCCACTATGGGACAAATCTAGGTTCAGAATCTAGTGACAATGAAGGTCTTGGGTTGAAAGAGGAAAAACCAAGTCAGCCACAGAAAGGTAACCAACCCTGACTTCAGAAGCAAAGCAACACCTGCCTGTGCCCACACACGGAATCTTACCACTGCAGAGGTAAGGAAGTTACATAATGAGTTCCAAGCCATCGTGGGCCCCAGAGTGAGTGAAACCTTGTCTAAAAAGGAAAAAAAGAAAGAAAAAACCAGGAGGTGGTGGCTTTCTCTACTCCCAGCACTTGGCAGGCATATCTCTGAGTTCCAGACCAGCCTAGTCTACAGAATGAGTTCCAAGGCACCCAGGGCTGCACAAACAACAACAACAAAAAAAAAAAACAAAACAAAAAAACCCTTGTCTTGAAAAACCAAAATTAAAAAAAGAAAGAAAAGACTTGTGTATGGTGGCATTTGACTCAACAAGAGTCAAAGGGACGGCAGAGGCAGGTAAATCTGTGAACTCTGGGACAGCCAGGGCTACCTGCATAAAACTTGTCTCAAAAATAAAACCATGTACATTAAAAGAGCCACAAGATAAAAAACCTTACAGAATTTAAATGAGATACAGACTGATTTAAAAAAACAATTGAATTTGGAGCCAAATTTGATGGTACTTTGTGTCTGTAACCATGACATTTGGAGGTAGAGGAAGACTGGGAATTCATGATGGGTTGAGAAAACACATACAGCAGTTGATCAGAGCAGGGAGAAAGAAAAGGAGGGATAAGGGAAGGGAGGGAGAGAAAGAGACCAGTCCAGTGCTCAAAACCATTTGACCTAACTGAATCTATCACACAGTACTCAAACAATAGGAAGCTATATCTTTAAACACACAATCATATGCCATATATAAGACATAAAAGAATCTAAATTTGAAAAGATTTTAGCCACATTTTTTAGCTACATTGGGATTAAAACATGAGAAATCTATTTAAAAAGCTTAAACACCATTTAAATAAGAGGGTTTTTTAAAATCACAAAATAAATTAGAAAATAATGTTGAATCAAACGAAAGGGGGCTGGAGAGGTGGCTCATTGATTTAAAGGAACGTACTGCTCTTCTGGAGGATGAGGGTTCCCACATCAGACAGCTGTAACCCACCTGCAATCCAGGGTGTCTGATGTCTGTGGCTTCTGTGAGCATCTTCACGAAAATCTCCACACCTACACATATAATTAAAATTAATATATTTTTGAAAAATTTGAAGCTTTGACTATAAACTTTGACATAAAAGCGATGGAAAGCCGTAACTGTTTCCACATTAACAGACTTGAGGAGGAGCTAGCTGTAGCCCACATGTGTACTTTCAATACTCAGGATGGTGGCACTGGAGGATTTCTTCAAAGTCAGAACAGAATGAGACCCTATTGGGGAGGATGGAGGAGAAATTGAGGGAGAAAAGGAAGGAAAAGAAGGATAAAGGAAAGGGAGGGAGAAATAGATTATAAGAGACATAAGTCTCTTATATGTCAGGTCTTACATGTGGCTTATGATGAATGTTTGTGCATTTAAAGATATAGCTTCCTGTTATTCGAGTACTGTGTGATAGTTTCAGTTAGGCCAAATGGTCGCCAGCACTGAACTGGAAAGATATAAGACAAAGTATACTCATAAATCAAGAAGCTTAGGCAAAATAGAAAAATTCTTAAGATACAAGTTGGCAAAACCAACTCAAGAAGTGGAAAATATAGAAATACTGATAAAGAAATTTAACTTTGAATCTGTGGCACATCCTTCTACCTCAAAACTCTGGAGGTTAAGGCAGAGGGATTTCAAGTTCAGACTTGGTGGTTGAGACAGGAGAATCTTTTCGAGCTTGAGTTTAAACTACACAGGCCAGTCTGGAATATATAATGACTATATAATGAAGCCCCATCTCAAACAAAAGCAACCACCCACCAACAAAAGGATCTGAACCCTGTACTTCTCCCTTCTCAGAAGACCACACCAGTGTTCTTCCAGCTACTTGGGCCTATGAACTTTGGAGTTAATCTTGGGCCCTCATCTTTCTTTTGGGACAAGGGTTCCTCTTTGTACCCTGGCTGTCCTGGAACTACAGACAAGGCTGGCCTCAAACTCATGAAGATCTAACTGCCTTTGCCTCCTGAGTGCTGAGATTAAAAAGGTATGTGGCCATCACCTGGCCATGGAGTTTTATCTAAGCAACAAAAGTAACTAATACTGAGCCAACCATCCTTAACAGTTACTTAGATTGGATCCAGTGTTAGAGAATTCATCCTGGGTAAAACCCTAGGACTATAAAGAACTATCTAAATTCTTAGTCATGATAAGTGAGTTCATATTTGTAGAAACTACATGTAATTACTTTGGATTAATAAGATACGTATTCTCTTTACAAATGAAAAGTAAATAGTAAAACCTTTGCTCATGCCTCTCTCTCTCTGTGTCTCTGTGTCTCTCTCCCTTTCTCTCTCTCTCTCTCTCTCCCTCTCTCCCCTCTTCCCTCTCTTTTCTCCTCTCCTTTTTCCCATCTCTGAGGATACTAATGTATACACTGGCGGAGGCCAGAAGTCAATGAGGGTCTTCTAATTGTTTTTTCAACTTATTTTTTGAAACAGAGTCTCTTGATGAACCTGGAGCTTACTGTTTCTGCTACAGTGGTTGGTTGGTGAGCCTCCTTGGTCTACCTGTTTCCACTCAGCTCTGGAATTATAGATATGTTCTTTCATGACTGACTTTTCATATAGGTCTTGGTGTTATGGAGTTCCTGACCCCTGAGAAAAGCTCAGAGACTCAATCTAATTATAATTAAAATATTTATTGATTACGCTAGCAGGACAACAATGTCTGAGCCAAACCTGAGACAAATATGAGAAGGTGAGTGAGGAAAGGATTGTTTTTAATTTTTTTTTTTTTGAGATTTTTATTTTATATGGATGAGTGTTTTGCAGGTATATATGCATATCATTTGTATGAAGTACCCATCAAGGCCAGAAGAGGGCAGTTTCCCCTAGGGCTAGAGTGACCAATAACTGTTAGCCACATAGTGTGGGTACTGGGTTTGAACCTGGAAGAGCAGTCAGTTGTTGATTACGGAGTCATCGCTTTAGCCCCTGAGGGAAGGATTTTTAAAGATGAAAATCTGGAGTGTCTGCATAAGCAACTCAAGAGCCATTCTGCTCTGCCACATAAGCAAGTTTCAGCAGCCAAGAAGTGGGTGGCCATACAGTAGATGGTCACTGCTGTACATTTCTAGGTGTGTGTAGGGGAGAGATGTCACTGAGTCCAGGTTACTGGGAATTTATCTTCTAGGGATGAAGCAGAGAGAAACAAAGCTAGTGCGTACCAAGTTGGATGCCTAGCATAAAATGGAATTATAGTAGCCGTCACATTGAGGACGCCCTCAGATCCACAGTGCTTGCTCTTTGCCACTGAACCCCTCATACCTCAGTCATAATATACATAAAGGAATTTTGTTATTTTTATTGTTTTTGTTGAGACGTGGTCTTGTTTCATGGGTCTCCTGACTTTTGTTTCCTTGAAGAAAAGTATTCAGCTGAACCCAGGGGTAGTTGTGCACACCTTTAGTCCCAGCACTTGAGAGGCAGAGGTCAGGTGTATCTCTGTGAGTTCTAGGCCAGCCTGGTCTATAGAGAGAGTTCCAGACCCAGCCAGACTACAGCTCTGTCTCCAAAAAAAGAAAATTCGATTGAAAGACACAAATGTAAGCATAATTTATTTAACAAATGAAAATCAAACAGGAAATCCTAAGAGATCAGAATAGGCTTCTACAAGCTGGGGGAAGAGAGCAACAAAGTTCTGTTCGGTGGATTTTAAAAAGATCTTATGAGATAGGTAGCAGTAGCACATTTGTGGGGTATGGTGACCGTCTTCTCTTACAAGTCATAGTGGATTGGGGACCCCTCACCCTGACAAGTCTCATGGCCTGTTTT